TTTGGGTAGCCAATGTCTATGTTGCCCATCCCTGTCAACTCTGTGTACCAAGGGGGTGGGAGTGATCCTTGCTGTAAAGGTTTTTTTCCTTTTTTGAATTACTGCAACTGTAAGTATAGGTAAAGTTCATCAAATTATAGCAGGTTACTCTCCACCACCCCCGCCCCCTTTCTTCTTCTAGTCAAGTTTTGACCATCCAGCCATTGAGGCGAAGACTAGTGGGTACTATCTGCAAGTATGGGTATTCTTGTGCATCTCCCCTCACTTCATATCTGCTGGATGCTTCATTTTTTGTGTTTGCCTCCCTATTGCCTTCTTGCCTGCATGGTTCGTGCTGAATAGTACGAGCTTAATCTTATTTGCTTGCCTTTGTAATGAAACTTCTCTTCTCTGTGGCTGCTTTTAGGATTCTCTCCTTGTCTTTGATTTTGGAGAGCTTGATTATTATGTCTTGGTCACTTTCTTTTGGGGTCTATCCTTCCTGGGGTACGTTCGGCTTCTTGAATGTTCATCTTCTCATCTTTCAAGATGTTAGGGAAATTTTATTCCAGAAGTTCTTCAACTATCTCTTCTGAGGACTTCTCTGATTCTTCCTGTTCTGGAATGGCAGTAATTCTTAAGTTGTTCCTCTTCATGTTATCCAGCATGAATCTTAGACTCTCTTCAGATTTTTTAATCCTTTTTTTGCTTGCTCTTCTAGCTTAGCAGTATTGAGAGATTTGTCTTCCAGATCTCTAGTTCTGGTTTCCATCTCTTCTATTCTGCTCCTTTCCCCTTTCAGTGTTTTGTCCATTTCTGATGTTTTATTATGAATCATCTGGACCTTTTTTTGTAGATTTTGAATTGTTTCCAGTGCTGCATCAATTTTGTTTGATTGATCTTGTAGTACTTTCCTGACTTCTTCCTTGTTTTCCTCCACCCCTTTTTGGAGCATTTGAATTTGTTTCTATATCATTCTTCTGAATTCTTTCTCAGGCAAATCCAAAACCTGTTCTTCCTCTTCTGTGGAGCCTTTGTCTGTCTCCAGTGCATTTGTCTCAGTTACTCTTTTCTGTTTTTGGACATATTTGAGATTGTTTGTTGTGTTTAAGATCTTTTGTGTGTCATGTCCAGTAGTTATGTGGCTTTTCTTAACGCTTAAATGTTATTAAGCTTCTGGTTATCTCCTGGTGGAATGATCAGGAGATAGGCTTCCCTTTTCACATGTAATGCTTAGCAGCTGTTATTGGCTCTTGTCTCAGTGGTGGAATATTATGGAGTATGCTTGTAGCTTGGCTATATGGCCACAATTACTGTCTCTTCTTGGGTAACGTAGGGAGAAAAATCTCCCAACTCCAGGAAAAATGTGTGATCAAAAGGACCCAAAGCAGAAGCAATATAAAAGCAGAGACAAAAACCACCACTTTGAAACAAAAATAAAACTGTGGCCAACTGTCCAGTCGCCTTGCTACACAGGGAGTGTGTGTACACCATAAAAGCCTCCAGTAGTGGGTTGGGGTGTCCTCTCGCTCAGTCCCCTCCTCTAATCACCATCATATAGGTGTGCAGATAGATACTGAGAAGTTAATGGGAGAAAGAATGTCCACTGTTTTTGTCTCTGAAGGTCAGTTAGGTATCTGTGTGTACACAGCATAATTCTGGAGATAGTTGTGCCCTATTATGTTGGGGTTTTACAGATTGTTTTATGATTTGTCTGTCAGGTCTGATGGGCCTGCTTTTTTCTTGCTATATAGGCAGGTAGCATGGTGGTTACAAGTTGGGTTGCCAACCACAAGGTCAGCAGTTCAAAACCACCAGTGGTTCCACAGCAGAAAGATGAGGCATTCTGCTCCTGTAAAGATTTACACCCTTGGAAACCCTGTGCAGGGTCACGATGAGTTGGAACTGACTCCATGGTACAACAAAGGGTCCTGCATAAGTTAATTTTAGGGCTGCGACACCAAGGCTGACGTCATAAGTAGCCGCCAAGCTCTTTCTCTGTGTACTGTAGGAAAACTGTGGGGTCAGTGTTGGACTTTTTTTTTGAGGGGGCTGCCCACCCACCTGCCTGAAGGTATCTGGGCTGGGCAAAGAA